AGAAAAATATCCATTATTCATCATATCAATTCATTTTTCTTACCAAACATCTACATTTTAACAAAATATCATGAAACATAATAATTAACATTTCTATTGCAAACATTCAGATATATACAAGCTCATGTCGACAGTCATCCAAATTTGCTGTAATTACAGTTTATTTACACTAAAACAAAATATGAAGTCACTATGTAAATGTAATGTTTGTTGTAGCTAATGCAGCAAGCAATAGCAAATTAGTTTAAAACAGCAATCACTCAGAAAGCTTTTGTTTACTTTATATCCTGAATGCTAACTATTCAGAGGGACTAATTCATAGTTACTCCTCTTGTGAGATGGTGGCTATATAAATTTGATAAATTAAATAAATATATAAATGTAGAAGAACTGACCTGAATTTATGTAAATTTATTTCACCTAAGGGAAATAAACCCAAATTCTATATTTTCTCAACCGCTGGGATATATTAGCCTCTACAATATATAAAGTTATGTTTTGATTTCAAAAGCAGTTTTTTTCAGTTTTGAAAGTAGCTCATTATCCATCAGGGCATACTATTGTTCAAGAATGAAAATTCAAAAAATTCTTCTTGTGCTGCATGCAATCTTGCATACTACCAATGTTTAAATTAGAGCAGGGGTGTCAAACTGGTGGCCCACGGGCCAGATGTGTCACACGCAGGCCACACCCACCCCAGCTCTGCAAATGGGGAAAACATCGTGAAATGTCATGACGGCAACATGACATGGCAAGTTTGACAACTATGAAACCTCAGCCAGGGAAACCCCTAGGGCTCTTACAGTCTGTGGCTGATCCAACCCGGCCCTGGGAGGAGATCACCATGGACTTTATTGTAGAACTGCCAGAGAGTAAGGGGCACACCGTGATATGGACAGTCATCAACTTCTTCTCCAAACAAACTTATTTCATGCAGTTTACAGTGAAATTCTGGCGAGACTTCATCACCCTGATTGGTTCTTCCCAAGGCCTGAGTTCAGCATTCCACACCAGCACCAACGGTGCGGTAGAAAGAGAAAATGCCATGGTGGAATGGTATCTGAGGTGTTATGTCACCTACCAACAAATGGATTGGGCAGACCTCCTTCCGTTTGTGGAGGTGGCGTACAATAACGCAGTGCACAGTAGCACCGGGTTCACCCTGTTTCGAGTGGTTAACGGAGTGGATTTCATGCCCATTCCCAAGTAGCCTCGAGACCCTCTTCCCTCCAGTAACCTATGCGAATGGGTGAAGAAGATACAGGAAGTATGGAGCGCTGTGAAGATGGCATTAAAGAAAGCAGCCGAGACTCATAAGATGCAGGCTAACAAAAAACAGGCTGCCCACAAACCTTTCCAGGTGGGGGACCAGGTGTACCTTTCAACTAAATAACTCAAGTTGAGAGTACCTTGCAAGAAACTGGATCCAAAATACCCGGGCCCTTTCCCAATTTTTCAGGTGATCAATCCCGTTACTGTAGAATTGAAGCTCCCATCCTTGCTAGGAAGGGTTCACCCCGTCTTCCATAGCAGCCTCCTGAAACCTGTGGAGGACTCCAATATCTGGTCCTTCCCTCCACCACCTGGTCCAGTAGGGGGGGACCGGTATGAAATAGATCAGGTATTGGATTCCTGACTTCATAGGGGCAAACTACAATACCTGGTACGGTGGAAAGGATACCCCTCCACTGATGCCTCATGGGTGGTGGATCAGGATGTGATAGCCCCACAGTTGCTTAGGAAATTCCACCAAAAAATACCCTCACAAACTGAGGGAGGGAATACATGTTGTGGTGCCCTGCTTAATGACTCTGTCTCCTGTCTTCCAGGTGCGGTCTTGGTAGGGATGAGCCGCCTGTCGAGCCCTGATCTGGGGCTCACAAATCTGGGGGGGGAGGAGCACATGAGCCATCCATGCAGCAGCAGCACAACACCAAGGGAGTACAGGAGCGATGGGCAAGGCTGCGGCTGCTGCAGTGAAATTTCTGGGTGCCACGCTCTCCGTTCCTCAGCAGCTGACCGCACAACAGCTGATCGCTCGTGGGTCAGCCCTCCAGTCAGGAGGGAAGGCTGCTGCTGCTGTGGAGAGGCCCAGGACACCTAAGATGCGCTTGTCAGCTGACAGCCTGCCAGCTGGTCACTTTGATGGTTGGTCCTCTGGTCGGGAGGAACCACTATTGCTGCCGACGGTGCGAGGGCCTAGAGACAGGCCTCCAGCATGGAGGAAGTGCTGCTGCCGCTGGAAGGATAGGAAGGCTGCAAATGCTGGCTACTGGATGCTGGGTGACTGGCGGGTGTGGCTGGATAGTATGCAAGCATAGTCTCTGGACTATAAAACACATTGGGAGGCAGACACTCCCAACGCTGACTTTGCAAGGGACCCTGTTGTTCCCTACTCACTGTGTACCAAAGTTCCAGACCAGCTTTGAAGAATAAAGATTGGTTTGCCATTCGTTGGCTTGGCTATTGGATTGCTGTTCCTTTGCTCTTCTATTGAAAGGCCCCAGGTCCGGCCCTGGATCTTTGAAAAGTAAGTTTTGTGCCATAAAACTTGTTGCTAAAACAATTGCTCAGTGGGCCGAATAAGGTTATAGTTTGAATAAATGTTACGCCATCTTTAGTTAATACCCACTAATCAAGTTGTCTTTTTTTGCTTTGCTTGCATACCTCTTTCCAAACTGCTTTAGCTTCAGAATTCTCACAACTCTCTGTCCTTCATATGAGAGAATTGGTTGCAGGCACAGACTTCATTTCATGTGATCTTAAAATTTATTAAATGTTCTTAATCACTCAAGTCCTATAGATTTGTAACTGAATTTCATCTTGTACCACAAATTTTCTAAAACAATGATTTTATTATCGCCAATTTCAATAATCATGCTTTGTCAAATGTAATTGGAGAAGCTATGAATGCAAAACATAACTATGAAAAACTGCTGGTTCTGTTGAAATAATTTGGAATGTGCAATCATTTCTGCATGGCTTATGCTCTTTATTTTATTTGTAAAACAAAATAAGAATCCTTAGCCCGACCAGTTTAGAAAATGTAGGATAAAAAGAGCTGGAAGAGATAGTACAATAAAATCTCCTGTTCTAAAAGCACGGTTATCATCTCTACTAGCAACTACCTCTCATCAATTTACTCCTGGAACAAAGCTTAAAAATTTAATAATAGCAGTGCTTTGAAAAATGCTCATTGAAAATCTATTATAGACTCTGGCCTTTGCATATATATAGTTTAAAGATAGTAAAATGTATAGAGTTTTGATAACCTCAAATATACTATTAACATGAAGCCCTATATTTTACATTCAAATTTATTTGTGACTTACCCTGGCAAACTTGATGAAGATGGTGGTGGCAAGTCTGGCGTTAGGACATACAGGTTGTTGTTTTTGGGCAAGTGTAGAGTTTTTAGAATAATCTACAGGAAAAAAAATATTTAAAATTTAGAAGTGTCAAAATGTTTCGGGTCTGTATCTGAAACATAAAGCCGAACTGATGCAAAATTATATGTCGCTACCAATAGCAACCATAATTATGTGAGTTTAAAAATCACAAGATAAGAAGAACAATAACAAGTACAACAGGAATCTTATTATGCTCCTGATGAAAATCTTTTTCCCCCACACACAAAAATCCCATTGGTAGTAATAATTGGTAATATTTAAAAATTTTATTCAGTCTTGCCCTTAGTAGGTTTCATTGCAATACAACTGCATGTAACACATAAGGTACAATTTAAAATGCTGCCAGTCCACAAGCTTTCTTCTATTACCAAAGAAATCAACAAGCTTTCTTCTATCGCTAATATCCGTATTAATTTCCGAAGAAACACAGCAGCCCTTCTTTATACTGAAGAGTCTTACAGTCATGAAGCTAATTAATATTGTACATGTTTAATCTTCAATGAATCACGATGTTTCTGTAATATGAAAAAGTAGCATGCCAGGCTTGTCTTATTTTCTAATAAAATCATTGCTACATTTTTACCTAGTAGGACTCCTGCCCATTGCCTCTTTTTCAGTAGAGAAAAAACCAAACACACCTTGCAGATATTAGGCTTATTATGTGTGTTCTGTTCTGACCAGATTGGATGGCATTTGTAATATTAAAAAAATATTCACAATGATTCATTCTAGTCTTTGATACCAGCATCTAAGTGATGCTGTTGATCTATCTCAATGCCTGGAGAATTGAGTACCTGGATGGGGAACAACAGGCATCAACTGAATCTCCTAAGTAAACCAGACAGGAAATACGACCAGATGAGCTAATTCTATTTTATTGTAAGGTTACATTAACAGAATCCTATTTTGTTTGTTTGTTTGTTTTTCTCATTTATGAACCACGCATCTCCCTCAGAGAAACTCTAGGTGGACTACAAAAAAACATCAAAATACAAATATAGTATATAAAAATTAAAATGTTAATATTAAAATTTCAAAATTAAAATGTTCAGAAGGAGGCAATAATTAAGAATAATTTAGCCCTGTTAAAAGTTAATTAAAAAGGCGAAGGGAGGGCTCTCAGGGCACCAACCAGCTTCATAGCTACATGTTTCTTTTCTTCCCCAGGGAGAGCCATATTTTAACTCCTTTACAAAAGGCCAGGAAAGTGGGGCCCTGCCCCACTTTGGGGGGGGGGGAGAATATTTTGCAAATGTGAAGGTACAAATCTCCTGCTGTCACATTTAACCATCAGTTTAATTAGGACAGGAACTTCCTAAATTTCTTTCTCGGACCATTAATTCACTAGGGGCTCCCTCCTCTCATCTGATAATTTCCTAGGAAGCATCTCTTCCCCTCATCTTTCACCATTACACTGTCAGCCCCGGCACAGCCGGCACTGCCACAGCCCACCCAGCTAACCTTGATCCTACTGCCTCCAGGAGGCTGCCAGCCACTGCTACAGCCTACTCTCATTCCTGAAGGGAAGGATGATGTCATAAGGCAGCCAGCAGCCTTCTCTGCTGTTGAATTGCAAGCATCTCCAAGCGATGGGAGGCTCCCGGAGGGAAGGAGTAAGCCTAGCAGCCCTGAAAGTGCTGGCCTGAACTGGGAGCTGAAAGTGCTGAAAGTGCTGAAAGTGCTGGCAGGAGCGGGGCTGAAAGTGCTGGCAGGACTGGAACTGATTGGGGATGATTGTGGCTTGCTGACATTCCCTATACACAGTAGGAAGTAGGTAGGAATGAGGTGGGTGTGACCAGTGTGTGGGCGGGTAGCGATTAGGAGTGCGGGTAGAAGGGTGGGGCTGCTGTAATTTTGAGTGGTCATTAAGTGGTCATTAATAAGTTGAGAAATGCCTGTAATTTTCCAGATTTTAGGTTTGATTTGTAAAGCTCTCCATAAATATTAAGCCTCTGAATCCTCAAGGGCTTCTACAGCAAGTTCAGTTTTTATCAAAAACGCAAAATATGTAACACAAGCTCCGCCCTTTATGAACTTGCATACAGTATTCACAATGCACAGACTAAAGGTGCGCAGTTTCCACTTCAAGACAAATGTTGCCATTTGCCGTCTCTGCAGATGGCCATGCAAACCCACCTACTCTGTTCACTTAATGGGAAACTGTCACCTTACGTATCTGAGAATTATCTGGCCCTGTTATACCTATCCAGATCACAGATCTCTGACAACAATTCCTGTGTTAGAGATGTTTTACATTTAATCTGGAGATCCCAAGAACTGAACCCAAGCTCTTCCACATATAAATATGCCTACTCTGGCATCCTTTTATATAGCAAATTAACTGTATGTTGCATGTCACTGGTGAAGATATAGAGTGGTGCTGCACCTTCATGCATGATTTATGAATCATAAATCCAAAGGCACTTTGGAGATAATCAAGTTTTCCCAAAACCACTATCTCACCGTGGAATATAAGTACAGCACTGATAATAAATTGCCATTCAATTTCTACTTGAATAAACCAATTTATTTCAGTAAATTATTATTATTATTATTATTATTATTATTATTATTATTATTATTATTTATTGAATTTATACCCCGCCCTTCTCCCCAAAGGGACTCAGGGCAGTGAACAGCTGAAAATTAAAATAACATACAATGTAAAAGTTAAGATAACTAAAAATAAATTAAATTAATCGGCCTCTCGATGATACAATGGAAAAAATAAATTTGGATTGTTTTATTACCAGGACCAAGGCAATATGACTACAATTCAATCTTCATTATTTTAGGGGTTTTTTTCCCTGACTTTTTTCTCACTCAAGGTGGCAAATTTATCAATACTCCCTCCTCCCCCACCTATTTCCCTCACCACAACAACCCTGTGAAGTGGAGTCGGGTTGAGGGAGAATGATGGCCCAAAATCATCCAGCTGGTTTTTCATGCCTAAACAGTCTCCTGGTTTCTAGGCCAGCATCTTAACCACTGCACCAAACTGGATCTCAATATTACTTAATGCTTCTTTTAAAAACAGGCTTGGTACAACCGCTGCTTCTTTTCTTCAGAGGAAAGGTGGGATTATCAGAAAGTCACCAGGAACAGTCAGTTACACACAAAGTGCTCGGTTTCAATTTATATGGAATACAGGTGGGAAATGCCATTCGGGAGATGGGCAGAATGCCATTTTATAACTGTTGTGACGGAATTATTTATAAATGAATGTCAGTTGGCCAAAGCCTATGATGATAAAGAAGGTAATGTCTTGTGATATGACTTGGGCTTCTTTGTAGCTTGTAGAACCCAAGGAAGTGGAAAGAGTTCCCTGTCACCTGTGCCCTGGATCCATGTCTTCCTGACTATTTCAGGCATGGGAAACCAATGGGTGGATCAAGGAGGTTATTAATGTTTCTTTGAGGAAGAGGGTGATGCTTCCTGCTTTGAATGAGATGCTTATATGCCCATTCTTGAGGAAACCATTCCTGGATCCAGCTGGTTTTGATGACTTCTGTCCTTATTTCTTTAAAAAAAATTTCCCACAGAAATATGTGCTACCATTCATAAACAGCTAGTTAATGTGCTTTCAGTTCCAGTTGGCAGATTATGAATATCCAATCTTGGATTTTATCATAGGTTCTATTTTTGCTTTCCTTTTGTGGTTCATTTTTGTTTTAATATTGGTTTGGATTTAATTATTACTTTTCTTTGATGTCATACACAATCCAGTCTTTGAGATGGCGGCAGCTTATGTACTGTTGATAAATAAATGAATACCATATAAACAATGGCATAGATTAAAAAAAGTATTTATAATGAGATAGAGAAATCTTTCTGTTGCTACTTGGAACAGGAACTAAAGAAAGTTGTAAGAGGACAACTGAAAAAATCTGTTTCCTACAAAGCTTTTCTCAATCACTGATAGTATATTAAAAGAAGTCCTATCAGAATTATATATATATATATATATATATATATATATATATATATATATATATATATATATATATCTCACCTTCCCTTAAACTATAAAAGCAGAGAGATACAGATGATGTATCATGGCATGGCCCCATGAATAGGGTTTTACATGATTTCTAGCCCTCTCTAAGGGGGGGAGGGGGAATCCTCTGTTTTTACACAGTGTACAGGTAGTCCTTAACTTACAACAGTTCATTTAGTGACCGTTCAAAGTTACAACATATTAAAAAAGTGACACGACTATTTTTCACACTTGTGGCCATTGCAGCATCTCAGGGTGACATGATCAAAATTCAGACACTTGGCAATTGATTTATATTTATGAGAGCTGCAGTGTGCTGTGATCACCTTTTGTGACCTTCTGACAAGCAAAGTCAATGGGTAAACCAGATTCACTTAACAACAATTACTAATTTAACAACTGCAATGATTCACTTAACAACTGTAGCAAGAAAGGTCATAAAATGGGGCAAAACTCACTTAACAAATGTCTCATTTAGCAACATAAATGTTGGGCTCAATTGTGGTCATAAGTCAAGGACTACCTGTATATCTTGTGTAAGTGACCACAAGAAGGTGCCATGTCATCCTTATTGGGAATCTTCAGATACAGAATATTAAAAGAGAAAATGTGCACTGAAGGAACAGAATATACTGCCCTGAATATTGTCTAAGTTAACTACTGTCAAAGTTAAATGTTATCCTTTGTAAATATTGTGCCTTCATTGTACAAGCAATCATGCCATTTAATCCAGAATATTTTAGACATGCTGACACATTAGCATTAGTTGGCAAAAACGGTTCATTGGGAAAAAAATCCTGTAACAAATATAAAAACTTACACTATCATCTACATCTCCAGTCTTCCAGCCCTTTAGCAACATTTTCGATGCAGGAATCTGAAGCTCATTTTCTAAAATATGTTTGATCTCTCCTGGAAAAAAAACACAAAGGAGAATCATCATAAAACACTTCTGCTTTTTCTGCTTTATCCTTATAAAGCATAGGCAAAATAAAATCTAAGAATCCCAGGCATTACTCAATGCATTTTAAACATATGTCTTTAAGTATTTTAGTTTATCTCCATAAATTCATATATAATAGCATTAAAAGTGGAACACTGAAAAAATGTTTAGAATATAAACAAGAGAAATGCAAAATAATAATAGATTTTACTTGAAATGCTATTGAATTTTGATATTGTTTTTCCCATTTTTTGTAAAATGAATTAAAGGAATTCAGATTTTATTTCTAAATTAAAACAAATGGATTTTTTTGATATGTTTAGGGCAGGGATGTCAAACTCAATTTCACTGAGGGCCGCATCATTTATTTTATTTATTATTTTATTAATTCAATTTGTATGCCGCCCCTCTCCGAAGACTCAGGGCGGCTCACAATGCATTTAAAATCATTATAAAAAACATGTAAAAATTAAAAACATTAAAAACATTAAAACTCATTCACACCATTCATGGCTGGATCTCACCAGATCGCAAGAGCGAGATCAACGGCCCCAGGCCTGCCGGAAAAGCCAGGTCTTCACCGCTTTTCGGAAGGCCAATAGGGTGGGGATGGTCCGGACCTCAGGAGGTAACTGGTTCCAGAGAGCTGGGGCAGCCACAGAGAAGGCCCTCCCTCGCGGGCCCGCCAGCTGGCATTGTTTAGCTGACGGGACCTGGAGGAGACCAACTCTGTGGGATCTTATCGGTCGTTGGGAGTTATGCGGTAGAAATAGGGTTGTGTTTGACCTTGGTGGGCCACGGTGGGTGTTGTCAAGGTGGGTGTGGCCAGCTTGACGTCACTTGTATCAGTGGCACCTGTGGTGGCCAAGTGTTAAGTTAGCACTTCCCTCAGACCCTCCCTCACTATCATTATAATTTCCTTCCTTCCTTCTCTTCTTTTCCCTTCCCTCTTCATTCTCCTTTCTTCTTCCTTCCCGTTTCCTTATTTTTCTTTCCTTGCTCTCTTCCCATCTTTCCTTTTCTTTCCTCTTTCTCTTTCTCCTTTCCTGTCCCTTCTTGCATGCTCGAATGCAAAAGGAGAAAGATTTCTCTTTTTGTTTTGTTTTTTGTTTGTTTTGCTAGCCCTCTGCCAGTGAAAAAGACCCTGGAGGGGGCGCGTGTACCCCCCAGGTCCCATTTTGGCTGTGATGACCTCTTGCAGCCCTTTGCCAGCAAAAACGGAGCCCAGGGGCCCCCAAACTCCATTTTCGCTGGCAGAGGCACCATGGACCAGTCCTTTGCTGTTTCCAGGACAGCCCCATGGGCCAGATCGAAGTACCCCACAGGCCGGATCCAGCCCATGGGCCTTGAGTTTGACATCCCTGGTTTAGGGTATATAATTTGCATTAGAAGTTTGCTTTCTATGATATATGCTTTGGTCTCTAAAAACCTTCCTAAATTGTTTGAAATGTTTAAAATTTACACATAATATAACTATTGATTTACCATCTTAGCTAACAGCTACTTATTGAGACAAAATGCTTTTCCAGCTTGGCATATTCCACAATGGGATTCAAAAGTTTGAAGAAGGTATGTGAGGACTGACTCTTGGCTCTTCTACAAAAATGCATTCTGTTCCATCACTAAAATTTGGTCTTCAATATCACTCACGAGAATGTTAATTAACTGTTTTGATTGCGGTTAACAGAGCTAAAGGCTAAATTGGAGTAGAATTCTTTCCTTAAAAATCTTTGTATTTCTCTTTCAGATCAAAATTACATATCAAATTGATTCTAAGCTCCAAAATTTGTTAGTTTATTCAAAGCCCTTTTCAAGCACTGAATTACCCCAAATGAGCAACACTGTACAACTGTTGCTCAATAGCAAATATAGTATGATCAAATGCAGAACACTAGTCTCATGTTCCAAAGCCGATGTCATCCAAGTTCCGCATGATTTTAATTATTTCTCTATTCACATGATATATGTTCCTTCCATCTGGTGGGCATTTTATGCAATTACATTACTAGAAAAAAAAAGTTAACATCTGACTTTGAGAGAAGCATTCATGCACATAACGCACAGCTGTTTTTGCAAGAATATGAACTGAAGATGTTAAATTTGTTATTAAAAAGACAGACTTCAATATGTCAGATAGTTATAAAAAGTTTTTAAAAATAGTTTTAATATGGTGCTTAGCAGTAGTTTCATTGCATGTGTAGTTGATGGCAAATCCAGCTTTGCTTCTGTATAATGTGTGAATTGACCCTGAGCAAAAGACAGATGGAAGATATTAAAATACTATTGAAACACTAATGAAAGTATGGCCTTGGATTAGTAAAAAGTGAAATTTAGGACATCAAAACAGAATGCAGTCTAGTGGGGTTTTTTCCCCCTTATCTCAATATATATTTATTTTTTCATGTAAATCAACATAACCTGCTTAAACCCAGAGATACTGTGACTAATGTTCATATATATTTTCTCTTCATAATATATTTGCATATATAGACAAATACTTCAGATGATTACAGAATTATAAGCAAAATCTCTGTAGATACCAATATTTTCATATAGTTCCCTGGAAAACTTTTTTCAGAAGAAAAAATGCATACTTTGTTGACATGATACATATATTTCAGAAGGTATCATATTTCACCCTCTCATTCACATCAACACAATTGTCTCTTAAATCCTGCTACTTCTAGAAAATAAATCATCAATTGTATAAAAAAAATCTCTCAAAATATAAAAATCCCCTGCCTGATTAAAAATGAGCATTTTATTAATCTATCAGCTAAAGTAATCTTAAAACATTGATATCATTTTTTCATTTGGAGCTGTGCAAAATCAAAAATGAGACTGAGAACTTGAATTTCAAACAATCTCAAAAAAAAGACACAATTCAGTGAAGAATTGAGCATAATAATGGATATGAAGCGAATAGCCAAACAAGTACCTGCTTAGCAAATAAAACATATACTTGCCACTAGATGTCACTCTTTGATTATATATTACTTTTTAAAAAAAAAAACACTTCTGGACAAACACTTGCCACAATATGCCTATGATTTTTATATTGCATTTTTAAACTAAATACACCATCCAAAGTCCCTCTTTGAGAGAGATGGGTGGTTCAGATATGTGATATATAAATAAACTAAACAAACACTTATTTTAAAAGGAAACATTTGTTTGATATCACTAATCATACAGAGTTGGCAAAACTGTTTTAAACAAATACAGTGGTACCTTGGTACTCATTGTTAATTGGTTCTGGGAGGCACGATGAGTATCAAAACCAATGAGTACCAAACAATTTTTTTCCAGAAGGAATAATATAGTGAGACACAAGGCAGCCAACATCGACAAGTTCTAGCTTGTGTGTTGAGTACCAAACAAACGATGAGTACCGGGACAAAATTTTCACGTCAAAATGTGTTGAGTACCAAATTCAGTGAGTTTCAAAGCAGCTGAGTACCAAGGTACCACTGTAATAAAGTAGCATCTTCTTTCTACCTAGTTGCCCTAGGAAGCAAAATAATATATAAGTAATATGAGATTAATAGATAGGAAAAGTAGATGCTGTGATACATAACACTAATTCCAGCACAACAAACACCCTGTCTGAAAAGTGTAATGGTACAGTTTACAGCATAATAGAAATCACTACATTTTGTAAATCAATGACTCCATGATGACTTTATAATGAGGGCAGAATTCCCTTTTCCTTCTGTCATGGTGATATTTCTCTTAATTCTGGCACCCCTTCAAGCACAACATTTTGTAATCTTTAAACTGAATTTAAAAGCATACATGCTCTGTGATTCTAACCTGGTATAACAGAGATATTATACACTGCATTAACATGGGTTCTTGTATCTTTTATCATTATTTTGGCCCATCATACAATTATTAATTCAAATGCTTAAAGAACTCAAACGTGTCTTCATATTTGTTTCCCAAGACTAACACTAACATTAAGTTTACAAGTACTGCTTTTATATATCTCTTCCCTCCCCTCCCCTTCAATGAAACAAGTCACACTTCAGGTCACGTTTGGCTGAATAAATCTCTACTCTTTCAGAAATTAGATAACAAATAGAAAAAGTTTTAGAGCTATTCATTTATTTTTTAAAAATTATATAACTGTCCATCTTTTTAACATAACCCTGATCAGTTCACAGACAGTAATAAAACACTATAAACAATTCTTTTAAAAAAAGCATAAAAACCATCCCCACCACCAACAGAAAGCTAGATAAATTGCTTCCTTGCAGAAAAGAAATGAGTAATGTGTACAAACACCTGGGTACTACAGAACACATAGAAATCACCCTCAGGGTGAAATTGTAAAACTTTTCCTCCTGCCCTTTCAAGTCAATGGACTTTTGGCCCTGCTTTTCGCAAGTTTGAGATTGTAATGAACCTGTTGTGTGTTTACAAATCAGTTATGCCTGGGCTTACTAGAGCTCTGCCAATTTCAGCTCTTACACATATTTTGTATTATAATTAAATTCAGTACTTAGTTGGTCTTGTCTTTTTTTTTCCCCCTCAATAGTTTCTTACCAACTGTAGAACTGTCTTCGAGCACCACATCCACATTTCGATCTCTGTATTCCACTCTGAAGTCAAGCATTCGTGGTTGTCTTTCCACTATTTGTCTGGATGGCACTACGGGACGAAATGCAGAAGAGGAGGAAGATGCTGAAGACGATGGCGAAGGATGACTAGCGGGACCATAGGTAGGCCTTTGTAAAGATTCTCCACTATATTCACTGAAAAACATATCAGCTTGGTGTCAAATAAGGACAATTTTCCAAATTTATGCACACTCATATGCTTACATGTATTAATGTAAATTGTGTCTACTAGCCATGGCAAAGGGCTTGGATTTGTACAAGCCACTTAGAATATGCATGAGGAATTAGTAGAACTGTCTGAGGTAGTTACAAAGATGTTGACAAAATGCTGAAAACTGAAAATGACTATATTTGAAAAAGTCACCGGACTAGAGAGGATTGTACTTTAGTGTATTAAGTGTCAGCAGAATATGATACTTAAGTCTACACAAAAGTATCCTGAACCAGCCCATGGACAAGAATCTATCAGCAGAAGGCCTGTATAGACACAATATGATGTCCTTATGTAGAAGGTAAAAGAACTGCCTTATAAAAGGTTGTGAAAATAAGCGAACTTGTGAAATACCAGAAAACAAAGTGGCAATAATAATGAGGATGTAATCTGCAACCACTAAGAATTTCTAAAGCAAGACTTCTTGCCACATAAATAATATATGAAAAAAATATATAAACCATGGGTAAACACTAAACACTCGGGAGCTGGCCAAAGACAAAACATGGAGCAGTTGAATATCCCTATTCATCTGGGCAAATGATCAGTCTAAGAATGAAACAGATTCCATTTACAATCATGTTACAGTTAAAGATAAACCTATGTTTCCTACTTGCCTTATCTTTGTTTTGGGCTAGTTTCCATTGTTTGATATGAATATCTATCACTGACTGATTGACTGAGGCCTGATAATAGTTAACATTAATTTTTAATATCAAGTTCCATTTTGCTTGGGTGCCACATTTTATATCATCTCAGTGATATCTCATACAAATGAAATGGTATTGTAACTTATATGAATTTTATTCTGATATTTGCCATGCCTTAATATCTTTCCCAAATTTTTCTGCAAAGACGACTTGGTTATTTTGCTTTGTTTGAAGAACCTGTTAAATAAATTTGGGTAGTTCTTAAGATAGGCAAGTTCTTCAATCAACTGTTTCACTTTATGAACATTATTTGACGTTACTTCCATGAACAGTACAGAAATGCAGCCACAGGTGGTGAGCATTTTGTTCCTGAACAAAAGTCTTTTGATTCTCAGAATTATTTGCCATAACTAAATAGACCTCCAATTAATTCTGCTAACATCCTAACCTGCAATAATCTTAACAGTTGTCAGGACTTAGCCTATCTTTTTTAGCTTAGATGCTTTTCAAAAACACAATTATAATTATAAAATGAAATAGATGCTAAACTGAAAACGCTGAGTTTCAAATTTGCCTTTGTATTTGAAAGCAATGTAGTATCAACCTGGCTATTAAAAAAATACAAATACTGCAAAATGGTGGTATATATCACAGTAACTGGCTTTAGTAATTCACTATTCAGATTTGTTTATTAACAAATACGTAAAACATCTGATAGGACATGCAGTTTCATTTTGATCCGATTTGCAAGTACACAAATAAAATATATTTCTTCCTCTTCTTTTCCATATAGACATATCTAAAAAGTACTTATAGAATATGACTAACAGTGAACACTGATAATACAAAACACATCCCATCCACTAAAGGCTACTTTGGGTTCCTAGTTTTTCAAATAATTTTTAATTTTGTAAAGCCTACATGGCTTTGAACAGGGATATACAATTTGCAGCCCCTCAAACTCCAGAACCTCTTCAAAACTTACTAATTTTCATGCAATATAAGGGGGAAAATTAATTGCACTGATTGTATTTAATATTATTATATTTTTAGGTAGCTTTGTCCTGTCCCTGTCCACTCTTTTTGTCCAGGGAGTTTTGGTTAGGGTTAGGAAATACTGTGGTATGTGTGCTCAAGTGCTTAAGAAACATTGCACATTCTTGGCTTAAGTCCAATTATCTATTAGAGACTCTCTCCTTCCCTTTGTTCTGCAATGCTCTCATATGATGTGTCATGGCAATGCCAGCTGGTCTCTCTCTAAATGAGAAAAAACTACCCTCATGGCCACATACACACATAAGTTCTACTTGCAAATCCCTTTCCCTTGGAAACAAGGAAGGCAGGCAGGCAGGCAGGAGGAAGACACCCAATTGGGCATTATTATTATTTATATCTGAACAAATTTTTCATAGGTCACAAGGAGATTATATTTGTAATTCGGAAAAGATATTTAAATATTTTTCTTCCTATTTCTAAATTGTAAAAAACAAAAAAAGATTATCAGCAGTGTCCTACGAGGCAAGGAAACCATGAAAAACATAGCTTCTGGAATTGCTTCCAATCCTTTACCAACAATGGCCATACATTGCTTGTTATTATGTATGGGAAGGCTGCCCATACTTCCTCTGGATCATGTGATCAGAAAGGAGAAAGGAAGGGAGTACAGAATGGAAAAATCAACAGCATTCTGAGCTGCTGCCCACTCCCTCTCCCAGCAGGATCTCCTGAAGGTTTTTTTTTTTCCGCCCGATCCAGTCCGTTTTCAAACTCAGTCTTTATTTTGCTTCATAAACCATATATGATCCTATTCTCTTCAGCTTTTGAAGTTATTTGGCTGAAGGGCACGCAGATCTGTCTACCTTTTACATAAACATTTTGGGCTGGGAAGTTTTTTTTAAAAAAGGTGTATGATTGAATAAGTCCAGTGGTGGGATTCAAATATTTTAACAACCGGTTCTCTGCCCTAATGATTTCTTCCAACAACCAGTTTGCCAAACTGCTCAGAAAGTTAACAACCGGTTCTTCCGAAGTGGTGCGAACTGGCTGAATCCAACCACTGAATAAGTCCCTGCTCATTACTGCTCACGCCTTTGTGGCCTTCTGTTTGGACTACTGCAATGGACTCTAAATAGGGTGCAGTTGGTGCAGAGTACAGCTGCCCAGGTAGCAAATAGTCCTGGCTACTTGGCATACATAACACCACTATTTCATGAGATATACTAGCTCTCCATGTGTTTCCAGGTGCAATTCAAAGTACTGGTTGTCACCTTTAAAGCTCTTCCTGGTTTGGGACTAGGTTAATTGAAGGACTATCTTTCTCCTCTTGTTTCTCCCCAACGAATCCAATCCAGTAGGATGGGCATGATCTGAGTCTATTAGCCAAAAGTGCCAGTGCTGGGGCCCAGGACGCATGCCTTTTCTGCCATAATTCCTGTTAATTACATTCTCTCACCAGAAATGAGAATAGCCTAGACTCTGCTGGCCTTTTGTAAGAACCTAAAGATCTGGTTTGATGCCCAGCCTCGAGTGTGTGAAGGGTTCTGACTTCTGGCTATGCTAGTATCTGCCTTGTAATATCTTGCTCAGTTGCTATGCATTATAATTTTTGTATTTGTGATGGAAATTGTTTTCAATTTATTTTAAGACTGTTTAATGCCCACAGTCATTTGTTGAGATGCATGGCCATGCAAATTGAATAAATTTTATTTATACCCCTTTACTGTTTTTTACAAATAACTCAAGCCAGCAAACATATCCAACGACCTTCTTTCTCCTATTTTCCCCACAAGAACCCAAATAAATAATAATAATAATAATAATAATAATAATAATAATAAATAATAATAATAATAATAATAATTTTATTTCTATACCGCCCTTCTCCCGAAGGACTCAGGGCAGTGTACAGCCTATTTAAAAACACAAGACAAAACAACAATTAAAATTTAAAATGATTAAATAGATTTGGCTCAATTAAAACCCCAGAAATTTAAAATACCCCAATTTAAAATTATTATGTTGATAACCGGCCTGGCGGAACAACAGGGTCTTCAATGCGCAGCAAAACACCCGGAGGTCGGAGATCTTACGTATTTCCGGGGGCAGTTCATTCCACAGGGCTGGGGCTCCCACAGAGAAGGCCCTCCCCCTGGGTGTCGCCAGCCGACATAACTTGGCCAATGGCACCCTGAGGAGACCCTCTCTGTGGGAGCGGACTGGCCGGTGGGAGGCTATTGGTGGCAGAAGACGGTCTCGAAGGTACCCGGGTCCTATTCTAATTGTTACAGAACTATGAGATATGAATTTAAAATCCTTGATATATTAATACTGGTAAGTGTACTAGCAAATTTTAAATGTGTCCTCTCCTATCTGTTTTTCAAAATAGGAAGCTTATATTGAGCTTCTGGTTTTTCAGATCCATTCAGTGCAATTGATAGGCAAACACTTGCAAACAACGACTCACTCACTGTTAAACTGAACTATGACAGCAAACTGTTGCTGACAAATCTGTGCAGCTTTAATATCAGAGCGTTTGTCAGCTTAACCATCGGCTACAATAATTTGCATCATTCTGCATTACAAATTATGTTTGAGTAAAGGGGAAACAAACAAAAAAATAGAACACTGTGATTCTTTTTTTTACACAAAACCCCCTTTTCTTTCTTGCTAATCAGAAAGAACAAAGGGTAATTCTCAGCTCCAAAGCCATGGGCAGTTTCAGAGTTAAGATGAACAATGGGCACGCTGTGTTTAGGTGTATACATTTCCATGCAAAAATATATTGGCCCCAATTCAGAGATTTTTCTGTGCTGGAGTGGGAAGCAAGAAGACTACTGCTTGTGAAGACCTTTCCGGCCAGATGGTCAATGCAGTTAGCTTTCAAAACTAAGCAGAAGAGGAAAGGGATCAGTCCTCATATTCCCAAACCACACTGATCCCTCTGTTTTTGGTTCTGTCTGTTTGTGCGTCCCCCGTACATCTGCAATTCAGGAACACAACACAAGTAGCCTGACTTTGCAAGCACAATTCTCTTTCTCCACATAGAACTCTTTTGCATTTAGCACACGGACAATATTTTTTCAGTTTACATATTGTCCTAATAAAACCTGGACAAATTTTATTTTTATTGTTTTTAGTGAATGTCAGCAGTTTTTTTTGGGGGGGTGGATGCAGTCAATTAGTGCTAAAGTAGTGCTAAAGTAGTGAAGCTTGATAGCTAAAGTGCTAGAAATGGGAAATTT